TGCATATCATAACACAGACACTAAAGCGTGGCAATGAATAAACACAGACGTGCGTGCATTAAAATTAAGGGCTAGAAATAAACAAAAAGTAACGGACACTATTGCGTGCCAGGGTAGGTGTTGAGATTTTTCAGAAGGAATTTCTTAGCATGTCTACATGAGGCTAACAGTTCATTTCGTTTGTTAAGAGAGGCTAAATCGGGTTTGCAAATTATAAAGTACTTCTCCAAGAGACATAAGTTAGAGCGAATTGAGACAGGGCTGTATGGAGCGGCTTGCTTTAGAATCTTCCAGGAAATCGTGTAATCTATGTTCTTGTCTTTTAGGTTCCAGATATGTTTACTTAGTTCAGTGCTGTGTCTTTTGGCAAGCAAAAGAATCGCTAAGAAACTTGACTTAGACGAAAGAGTGAACACCACTGCCAGACGGGAAGCCTTTATAACCCTTAAGGACCACAAGCCCAACTTTGCCAACAACTTGACCTGTCGTCTAATCAACCCGGCCAAATCGGAAATCGGGAAGATCAGCAAACAAATTCTCGACCGAATAAACAGGGGCATTGTCAACCACCTAAACTTAAACCAATGTAAGAACGCTAAGGCTGTTTCAAAGTGGTTCAACAACATAACGAATAAAGAGCCATACTCATTCATCGCTTTTGATGTGGTAGACTTTTATCCCTCCATCTCTGTTGACCTTCTAAACACAGCACTAGAATTCGCTTCCGGCCATGTCAGCATAACTGATGAAGAACGAAACATCATCCTCCACACGAAAAAATCCCTTCTCTACAGTGAAGGAGAACCATGGGGAAAGAGAACATCGGCTGACCTCTTTGACGTGACCATGGGAAGCTACGACGGTGCAGAGTCATGCGAGGTCGTTGGCTGTTACCTCTTGTACACCATCAAGGAGAAACATGGCCACAACTTTGGCTTATACAGAGACGACGGCCTCGGAGTGATCCGAGAATCACCCCGAAAAGCAGAGATAATTAAGAAAGATCTCTGCAGAATTTTTGAGAGGCATGGCCTTAAAATAACAATCGAAGCCAACAAGAAAGTCGTAAACCTCCTCGATGTCACTCTCAACCTTAACAATGGTAAATACATGCCCTACAACAAGCCTAACAACAACCCACTTTACATCAACAAGAAATCCAACCACCCACCGTCCATAATTGACAACATTCCACNTCTCTGTTGAGAGTGAGGACTTAAACTGGTAAATAAATAAATAAACAAGATGTGAATGTTCATATTCACGACGAAAAGTTTTAAACAGTGTCAATTGAAAGCAAAAAGAATACTTACCCTTACACAAATATAACATGTCTTCCTACCCAGACGTTTACTCCTCTACAATTGTGTTCACCACAACAAGAATTAAAGAAATTCCTCCCAAGAGTTGGTATCAGCGTCCAGGAATACTCATTGGAATGTCTGTTGGTGGATTTGTCATTGTCATCATTGTCCTGTCCATATTTCTGACTGTACTGTCTCGGAGGTTGAAAGGAAGATATGTAGTGAACCGAAAAAATAAAGACCAACCTCGCATCCGGGACTCCAGAATTGACGATCTCATGGGAAGTGTCGAGAACTCGCGTCCACAATCCAGTACAGAATGTCTTGGAGTCGTGTCAGGTGAAATAAAGGACAGGGAGTCCTATGAGATGCAGAGTATGCCACATGTACATTCTTAATTTTTTTTTAAAGTTTTTCCTACCGTGTATTAAGATGTATTGTTTAAGTTGTAAGTGATTGCAATCACAAAAACAAAATAACGTTTTCGTTAGATTTCACAAAAAATTTAAACTATTAGAAAAAAAATTGCCATGATGAATAAACTGATCAAGATGAAAATTTTCAATTAGAGAGAACACATCCCGATATAAAAAGGGAATGCTTTTGAAACTAAGTGGTTGTGACACGCTTGAAAGCATTTTTAAAATGTCCAGAAGAACTAGGACCTACACCTACTTAAACTTATAGGCTTAATTGCAGATATAAAAACAAAATAAGGAAATTGGGGAGGGCAGTGTATTCCTTTACTTCATTTGCTGCCAAGGACATCGCTTTTCCCACCTTAATTTCTCTTGTCTGAACATTCCTGAGCCTTCTGCTCTGTATTGAAATACGTATAAGACCTGCATTGAAATATTTACGAGCAGATATCTTGTAGTTACAATATAGGTTCTTATGAGAATCTCAGGATTTTATCTTATTTTAGGACAACTCCTCTCAGTGTCAGGGAAATTTCAAACTCTACATGTTGCCGATTTATACAATTTTGCACTTTTCACCGTACTGTTGTAATGAATTGTCATATTAAAGGTGATGGTATTTAAAGTGTTTGTATAGCAATCATTTTCGTTAAATTGGTAAGAAAGGAAATTTAGTTTTGAAGATATTGTTGCGGCAAACGGATTATTTTACTACCACAGTGCTTGCTTTTTTTCTTCGTTCAGATCATTCTCGCTAAAAACAAATTAGCTCTAACCCCTTGGTGTCCGGGATCTTTTGCGGTTCAATTTGAAGATCGTTATTTGCGGTCCCGGGATCATTTGACAATTTGGAAAGCATAAAATGTGTATAGCTTTTTGGTTAAGTTTAACCTGGCACTCGCGGGCTAAGTGCTAGGGCTTGCATTGGCAGTGTAGACTAATTTTTCGGAAACGGATCCTGTTGGACGCTCGAGGCTGATCGGCACGAACTCGGTGATGCTGGATAGATTGGCATCATCTTTTAGTAGATTTACTCTTCTATTAATCTAAAGCCCAGGCCCAGATACAAAACAAAAATAACAAGCAGAATATATATTTATTTTAACTATGACCACACAAAGAACACCACTTGCAAAATTTACATTAACTACATAAAGGATATTTACACGAGGTTTGTCAACGTACTTTGCGTTACAATACTTACATTATAGCACTTACATTACTTTTATGATACAGTTTACTTACACAGTGAACATTGCAAACAAACACAACATATTTAGATGCACATTATTTACGAAAAAAGAGACCTTGTTCACAAAATATTAACAGTTACAAAAGACAAAAAGGAACGGTTAACTCTCAGGTCGGACAGTTGACTGAAACTGTCTAGCAAAGTAAAAGACCTCTTAAGTGAGGCTTGTGAGCCATCTCATATTATCGTGGTGTCTTCCGCATGCTGACGTAATTTATACTCGACATTTCCCCTGGAGATTCCTTTTGTCTCCTCTTCACAAATAGCGGTAGCTAACACCTTGACTCAGAGAATGAGTAGGTAAAGCGAAAGCGGACAGCCCTGCCCTGCAACTCCACCAAAGTCAAAGAAACCCCCGGCCATCCATTATTTTTATCATGTACCTTTGGAGTAAAATGAATTAATCCAATTAATTAAAGAAGAACCAAAACTAAAATACCTAGCGTTTTTCGCACGATGGTCTATTCACTAGAGTCGAATGCTTTTTCAAGATCGATGAAAAGGAGTAATCCAGGAATATCTTTAAGTGCATGGTATACGAAATAGCATTATTGATCAAAGATAGAATGTTTTTTATATTTTGTGTTGTCACGGTTGCTTTTTTATTTTTATTGGTTGATTTTGTTACATTTGTCACGACTTATAGATGCTCTTGTTTTCCCTACATCATAGTTTGCTGGTTTGAGATTTAAGTTCTCGTTAGCTCTTCTTGATATTTCTGACTACAAAATAGCGGATATACTACGAGTCACGTGATTGGTCGCAAAACCTATCATTTATGGCATCGTAAGACCCAAACGGAAAATTTGAACACTTTAACTTATTTTCAAAGCAAAAGACCTTACTTTCTATCAGTTTACCGGCTTACTTTTCGCGTGGAGATATCACAGGTCACAGGAATCATATTTACCAGTGACAGAAAGGTCAAACTTCAACCGACGCATCAATCTTCCTAGTGGCGTTGTCCGAATAATGACCATTAATATACTACGATTAATATACTGCGATTGGAACATCCGAACTGAGGGATAATGAGGGTCTCCACCCTAGACGTTACATTAGAACCTTGTAATTCAGTTCAGTCGTTAATGAATGTTTCATCCTTTGCCCGTCGGCAAAATTCTTGCTTTTCTATTTCAGATTAGAGAACCCCATCTCAAAATGATTTTACAATAACTGATGAGACTTGTAAATACTATTTACAGTCCGTAAGTCTGTTGGGGTATAACATTTGAGACTCCGTTTTCTTAAGCAAAAAGTAATTGACAGCGATGTGGAAAATGAGAACTGTTAGTTTTAATTTCGGAAAAAAGAGCGAACTCAAGGTTAAGTCCTGTATTTGTTAAATGTACTTTACATAATCGCTTGCAAATTTTTCATTCTCAAAATTGTTTTTAAAAAGCTTTTTGACTATAGCTCTCCCTTAGTGATCTAATGCACAACACACCATAACGCATTCGCATCAAGATACAATACAGTGCTGTGTCTTGAAAACAGAATTCAAATAAATACATGAAAAGGTAGGCTGAAAAGTACGGCAAGGAATGTACCTGAACCCAAACAGTGATAAGTGTTAATTAAGATTTTTCCCAACAGTATTACCCAGAATTCAACATTACGATCTTGAAAATAAAGGAATTGTGAACGCGAGAAGCTCCTGATTGTTGGACAAATTCTCTTTGTAAGTACAATTGGAAATGTTTGGAGAACAGTATGGAGAACTTGAATACTGATGTTAGGGTGTAAAGAGTTACGGGCTCCGTGACGTATCCCAGATTTCGTCATCCCAGTGACGTTATTCCGTGAGGGATTAGGAGCAAATCATGAGTGACGCTGAACTCGCGATGCAACATAGTATTTTATTCATAAACAAGATTCACATGGATATTTATACTACAATCCACTCCTAGCTCGTTATTGGAGTTTTTGAAATCTAACAGAAAGCATTGATCATCGATACGATTTAAAAGCTGCAAAGTTAATTTTGAAATTGTCGTTGTTGTTTTTTCCAACAAGCAGGAGGCGGTTTCAGCTGCAGTATCAGGCTCAATAACATAGCCACTGGTAACCAGAACAGACAGGCTGACAAGTTGCACGACGTTTGTCATTCCCCCAACAACTGCAAACAAAAATGAAACCCTTTATTACAATCTATAAAACTTATAATAAAGCCTAATTTTAGGACTAAGATCACTGGAAAAGCACACCGGTTAGCTAAGTAACTCACCAACGGTCAGCTAGCTTTCTTTTGTGCCTAGTGCTTATACCTTTCCGTATCCACGTTTATTTAAACCTGGCTTAAAATTCTCTATTTGTTTATTTTCTTTTTTTTTTTTTGCTAGCTTTTATCATTTCCTCTGATCATGATTCCACTCTACAGTACTTGCGGTTAATTTTTTCTGACTAGCTTATAAACATTTCTACCTAACCTTTCTTGTCTGAACAATCATAAGCCTTCGGCTCCGTATTGAAATGCGCACGTGTAAAATGCGTATTGAAATATTTATGTGCAGATGTTTTCTTTATGTCACGTAGCTACAATTTACGTCCTGATGAAAATATCAGGATTAAATTTTTTTATGACGACTCCTGTCGGTGTCAGGAAAATTTAAAACTCTTTATCATTATTTTAGAGTAAATATGATAATATGTATAGAAAAAATACAGCGGGACTGAAGATCAATCAGTCCTAGTGTAGCCTGTGTGCAATAAGCAGCGAGCGAAAATCATCGCGGCCCCTCTCAGCTCCCTTATGTTTCCCCCGCTCGCCATACGTTTTTGTTGCCCCACAAACTGACCAATTAAAATAGGCTAGTCCTGAATGAGAGAAGACTTTAATTAGTGCTACAGCAAAAGCAGCGAGGCCCTCGAGATTCGATTCGGTGATCGAAGGGAGCTTGCGAAAAGTCTGAGAGGGGTTCGTGCGAGACCCCCTCGAAAAACTCTCGCCGACTNGCAGACTTGGTACAATATGTAGACTGCAGACGGCAGACTGGGTACAAAATGTAGACTAGTTACAAAATGTAGACTAGGTACAAAATGTAGACTAGGTACAAAATGTAGACTAGGTACAAAATGTAGACTAGGTACAAAATGTAGACTAGGTACAAAATGTAGACTAGGTACAAAATGTAGACTAGGTACAAAATGTAGACTAGGTACAAAATGCAGACTTGGTACAATATGTAGACTGCAGACGGCAGACTGGGTACAAAATGTAGACTAGTTACAAAATGTAGACTAGGTACAAAATGTAGACTAGGTACAAAATGTAGACTAGGTACAAAATGCAAACTAGGTACAATATGTAGACTGCAGACGGCAGACTGGGTACAAAATGTCGAGTGAAATTTTTAAAAACTTTTCCTTCGTCTGATATGTGATAACATGTCATCTTGCAACTTACCGAATGTCAAGCAATCGGTTTTCCGTGATCGTCTTTCACGATCATTCGCACTGTGTGGAATACTCTTCTCCCGTTTCCTCTCATATGTATTTTGTTTTTAGCCGAGTGGAAGCAATCTTTCTCATATAGAATTTCAAGCCTTCCTATAGTCTTCTTTTTCCGCACCCGAGATGACAGTATCGACCTTCACCTTTGAAATCGATATTTGTATGTTTTCATTTTCTTGACAAAAATGTGGACCGAGACCAAAACTGTTCTTTCGGGGGGCAGCGCGCATTGTAATATTCACAAAGAAGTATGAACATATAACTCCCATTTTAAGGTTACCGTACACCTTCAGGGGTGTATCGCGTGCAAGCGATGTAGCGCGTCCGGTTTAAACTGTAGATATCTAAACCCCTATATCAAATTAAAGCTTATAGGACTGGCTATCAGACTACACCAAAAATTTTGAAACAAAAATGAATTATCGAATTTTTCACGACTTCTAAATGCGAGCGCCCGAATCACCTTTCAAGAGCTACAAGTCAAAGGGAATTTGTTCGATTGCTCTAAAATTTTGACAGTAGCTAGTTTTACATATAAATAACAAAAAATTGTCTCCGAATTTTTTATTTCTAAAACCTTTTTTTAATAGCGATTTTTGTACGATCACTCCACATTTTTTAATCCTATTTCAAAATGTTCTGTAACTTTTCACTGAAATTGAATATGGCAAGTCGCAGACACGTTTTTTTAGCGCTTTGGCCCCGGAAACAGAGGAACACGTTAAATAAGCGAAAAACAAAATTCGCTTTCACATGTAACGTTCAAAAGGTGATTCGGGCGTTCACATTTAGAAGACGTGAAAAATTCGACAATTCATTTTTTTTTTTTTCACAATTTTTGGTATAGTCTGATACCCAGTCCTATAACCTTTAATTTGATAGAGGGGTTTAGATATTTACAGTTTAAACCGGA